CGCGGGCCCAGGCGCAGGACCCGCGACGCCGTGGCTCTTGCACACTCTGCTCCCGGCTGCGTGCTCCACCGGAGCTGGGGCGGGACCCCACGTCGGATTTGGATTTAGCGGCGGAGGCTTGGCGCCCGCGAGGCTCATAAGGCGAGTTTGGTGCTAATTTTGGAAGTTTTCTTTCCAGGACGGGCCGCCAGCGGAGCCCTGCTCAGGTGTCCCCCGGACAATAGGGATCTATTTGGACTCTGCAAATGATGGCAGTGATCTGTATTCATTGCATGCGTCGGTTGTGCTAGTGAGGTCTTTTCCCCAAGCGGATATATTTATTTGGGCTTCTTGGAATGACTTTTTGTTTAAGAAAAGAAAAAAAGAAGGCAAGAAGAGGTTGAAGCATTGCAAGCTAGTAAAAAAAAAAACCTCAAGCAATGCACACAAATGATTAAAGCAGATACAGGCTTCTCTTAATCTTCAACTGCATCATTTTTATGCATACTTTATCAAACATTTTTCTGCATGGAAGTCTTTAAACTTGTTTTGTAACTTGCTTTTTCTGCTTAGTAGATTATGGATATCTTTTCACGACAAGGTCATACATACGTGAATGACATTTAAAAAAAAAACACCTGATGTTTAATATGAGAAGTCCATGATTTAGACAGAACATGGACATTTAGGTTGTTTCCCCAGTTTTTACTGTGTTGATGATGTAACTATGAATATCAGTTTATGTACACATTCGTGCAAATATACAAATATATTCGTGGAAAATTCTTAGAGGTGGAGTTGCAGTCAGTGGGCATATGTGTCGAGAAATTTGAAAGTTGAGTTGAAAAATTTTGTCAAATCACTCATGCAAGAGTATTTTAGTCTTTATTCCACTCTTTCCCCTCCCCCTTTTATTTTCCTGGGAAAAAAAAGCTAAATTTAGACCTTTAAACATAGAACGCCCTTCTAAAACTCCTGGAAATCTGAGTTCCAAGTGTTTGAAAATTAAGGCTTTAATTTCGTACTTAACAGCATTGAAGTAGTTATATCTTACAAATCACTGCAGAAAACAAGGCAAGTATTTTAAAACACTTAAAAGTATTTCGCATGAAGTTTTCCTGTGGGTGTTAGACTGTGCAGTTAGGCGGAGAGTTACATCTAGATAACCTAATGTGACCAGAGGCTCCGAAGGGGCGGGGGATGAGCCCCACCTTGACTTACCAAGCACTCACAAAGAACTTTTTTTAAAAAAGCTTTTTTGGGGGGGTTGTCTTTTTTACTATTAAAAATGTGTTGCACAGTTTTGGCACTTTTACATAATGTTGGGCTTACAAAAGGAAAAAAAAATGGTTAATCTTATCATCTCCACAGAAGGAGGTAAGTCCTAATCATCCTATATCGGCTGTTTCTTTTGGGGAGAATAATTCCAAGTTTCCCTGTTACTTTTGGTTTTGTCTGGAATGCTGTAGTCTGTGTGCCCAGCATATCACCGTAACTCCTGAAATGCAAAAATATGAACGAGCCATTGAGAATGAAGTCTGTCCTGGGCGGGACGGGGATGCTTTTCTCCTGGAGTTACTCAGGAGGCTAAGGCAGAAGAATCATTTCAGTCCAGAAGTTTGATGCCTGCCTGGGCAACATAGTGAGAGAGTGAGGCAGTGAGAGAGAGGGAGGGAAGGAGGGGGGAGGGAGAGAGGGAGGGAGATAGGGAGGGAAGGAGGCGGGGAGGGACAGTGAGAGAAGGAGGGAGGGAGAGGGAGGGAGAGAGGGCGCAGGAGGGAGAGAGAGGGAGGGAGGGAGAGATAAGGAAGAGGGAAAGGAGGGGGAGGAGAGGCAGAGAGAGGGGAGGGGAAGAGGAGCAGGAGGAGAAGGTGAAGGAAAGTGGTGTCTTGGAGCACCCCCCTCACCCCCCAGTCTGTGGTAGTTCCCATGAGGAGCTAGGTGAGAGACCCAGACTAGCTTGCCTTTCCTGTGCCAGCTCCCCTCAGAGCTTTCGATATCTGTCTGGAGACCCTGATTGCCACCTTCTTATCTTCCCCTCATCTTAAGGATACACCCTTTAGGACGGGTGGCACTGAACTGGGTAAGTAGCTCAGAGGCAAGTTTTTTGAATAAGGGCTTCACTCGAGAAACTGAGCTTCCTTGAATTATGCTCAGTCTCTTTTCTCCTCTGGGTGCCCACTGCCCCGCTCGGCTTGGCTGCATCCTCTCTGCCCACCCCTCCACCCTTCCCCACCCTCCCAGCTCTTGAAGTTTCGGTTTCATGTGTTGCCCTGGGCACCTGTCTCCCCACTGGGACCAGCCCTGGGAGGTCCCTGCACTTTTCTCCGCCTATCTGCATCATCTGTCCCCTGCAGGACAGCGTCCCTGGGGTGCACAGCTGGGCCCTTTTCCAGTCTTTCTTCAGAGTGCCCTCAGGGATGACCTCAAACCCCCAGTCCCAGCTGATGGAGTCCTCTGATGTTGTCGCTTCTTGTTCAGCTTGACTCCTCCAGGCTGAGCCTCACGAGAGGAACAACTGTTCATAACCATCTTTCTACATGTTTAAAATTTTTAATTGGCAGAACTTGTATGTACTTACGGAGCACAGTGTGATATTTCAGTTCTTAGATTCAAAGTGTGGAGATCAGATCGGGGTAACTGGGATACCTACCACCTCAAGCAATTATTTCATTGTACTGGGAATGTTCAAAATCCTTTCTACTATTTTGAAATGGACAATTAATTTATTTAAACTGTAGGTAACCTCCTGTGCTATGGAACATTAGAAGTTATTCCCTCTTACCTAACTGCACTGGGTACCCACTAATTATCTTCTCTCTCCTCCCTTCAGGCTCCAGTAACCACTAGTCTACTCTCTCCTTTTATGAGATCAACTTTTTACATAATTTTTTTTTTTGGTACTGGGAATTGAACGCAGGACCTCACACTTGCTGGGCAGCCGCTGCATGCTAAGCTAAATCCCTGGCCCTGAGATCAACTTTGTAAGCTTCCACCTACAAAGGACACAGTGTTCGTCTTTCTGTGCCTGAAATGTTTCACTGAATATTCTCCAGGCTATCTCAGTGTGACTGTGATTTGTTTTCCCCTAATGATCAGTGTTGTTGAGCATTTTTACATATACTTGTTGGTCATTTGAACATCTTCTTTGGAGAAATGCAATTTTGATCATTTGCCCATTTTAAATTGGATTATTATTATTGTTTACTGTTGAGTAAAGTTTGTTTTATTCTGGATATTAATCCCCTTTCAGGTTTTAGTCCCTGGAGTGGTTTGTAGAAATTTTCTTCCAGCCCCCCCCCTTTTTTTTTATTCCCTATCTTTTCCTGTAAGTCATTGAATCATTGCATTAGGTATTTAGGTGCTCTGTAGTTTGGTGCATATCTATTACAATTTTGTATCCTTCTGACAAGTTGGCCCATTTTATCATTATATAATAATAATCTTTGTCTTATTAAAAGTTTTAAAATTAAGTTTATTTTTCTGGTGTATCACTATTACTTTCTTTTTAAAACAGTGATGATATTAGTACATGTTAACTGCACAAATTAATGGGTTCCACTGTGACATTTTCATACATGCCTGTATCATGTTTTGATTATGTCCAGCCTCTCTTCTCCTGCCCTCCACTGGCCTTCTTCCCTGTCCTTAATACCCTTTTCTACCCTCTTCTACTTCCCAGTTATCTGTTAAAAATTTTTTTCCTACTCCCCCTTTGATTTCTGTTTGCATGGAATATTGTTTTCTTTCTTGCATTTTCAGTCTGTGTGTGTTCTGAAAAGTTAAATGTGTCACATATAGATAGCATATGGTTGGATAAGTCTTTTCCATTTGACCGTTCTGTCTTTTTGTTTTGTTTTGTTTTTTCCAGTACTGGGAATTGAACTCATGACCTTGTGCTTGCCAGGCAGGTGCTGGGCTGCTGAGCTAAATCCCCAGCCCCAAAATGAGAGGCAGAGATTCTGGTTTTTTGTTTGTTTGTTTATTTTGTTTTTTATTTTTCTTCCGGTACCGGGAATGGAACTGACGACCTTGTGCTTGCCAGGCAGGCGCTGTGCTGCTGAGCTAAATCCCCAGCCATGACCGTCTGTCTTTTGATTAGGGTTTCCTTCCTGTCTTAGTTACTTTTCTCTCATTGCTGAAACAAAATACCCGACTCCCAAAATTAAGGAAGGAGAGGCTTATTTAGCTCACGGTTTTTGGAGGTTTCAGTCCATACTTGGCTGGCTCCAAGGCAGAGTGGCACATGGCAGAGAGCAACAGTTTATGGCAGCGGAAGACAGCAAGAGCACAAAGGGGGAGCAAGCTTCTTTTCCTTCCTTGTATTGTATGCCGGCTATCCGCATCCACACCGTCTCAGTACCCTCCTCTTGCACAGCCTCAGGATGAATACAAAGTAAGGACCCGGCTCCCTGCTGAGTCACATGGTTAACCTTTTTTTTGCAGGGGGTGGGTTTCCGGTACGGGGAACCGAACTCATGACCTTGCGCTTGCCAGGCAGGCGCTGTGCTGCTGAGCTAAATCCCCAGCCCCTCATAGTTAACCTTCTAAACTTCTCAAATTGACAAAGTGAACATCCTACAGCCATAAGGGCTGGTCCTTTCCACCCCAGGATGTAGAACTGCTGATCACTTAGTTAAGCTTCTACACTCAAGTTGATACCATGTATCAACCATAACGCCTTCTTTCCTTTATTTATTTATTTTTTTTAAATGCTGGAGTTTGAACCTGGGACCTCCTGCATGGCTACTGTACCACTGAACTACACCTCTAGCCCTTTTTAAGACAGGGTCTTGCTAAATTTCCTAGGCTGACCTCAAACTTGTGATCCTTCTGCCTCAGCTTCCTTTCTAGTGCTGCTTTGCCTGACTTGATTAGAAAATTCAATTCACTTATATTCAAGGTGGTTATTAACAGGTAAGGACATACTACTGCCATTTTGTAATTTTTTGAGGGGGCTGTTTTGTAAATCCTTTGTTTCTTTTTGTTTCCCTTGCTGTCTTCCTTGTGTTTTAATTTTTTTTTTTTTTTTTGTGGTAATTTTCTTTGAATTCTCTCCATTTTTTATGCAAGTACTATATAGCGTTTTGCTTTTTGGTTATCAAGCGGTTTATATAAAACATTGTAAAGTTAAAACAGACTCTTTTAAGCTTAAAGCAAGG